CTACCTCGCTCCTCACAGCACTGGCCATGCTGGTTGGAAAGATTCATTGCCAATGAGCTGATGTTACCTGCAGCGTTTTACATCAGACTCCCCAGGCTCCTGGACTTGTCCTCTTCTCCCTCTCCCCTTTTCTCCCTTTCAATAGCACTCTCACAGCCCACCGTTGTGTCTGTCTTCCCCCCATGCAATACTCTGCTTTGAGGAATAGTGATCGTCATCTGTTATTGGCAGCAGACGGAGACACGATAAGAAATTCAATTCAGGCAGCAAGCCAGGCCGGCAGAGTCAACACAAACACACCGAGGACAAAACACTAACCTGCAGATGATGCTGTCAGAGAGGAGACTGCCACAGCATGCCTCTGCCTGGGATCGGTAAAACAGAAACATATTTCAGGAGATGAAGACCTTATGAGGCTCAGCACCATCCTTTGCCACATGATCTGCAATGTCTTTTCCCCTTGGGATGTGGTTTTGTCTGTGCAGAGATAACCCAGCGCTGACAGCCACCAAAGCCAAAACAACCCAGCTCTTCCTTTGCTACTGGCTTTGCCCAGTGCCTCTGTGGAAGCACGGACCTGCAGAGGCATCCAGAGAGCAGCCCCAAAGCCCAGCCTGAGACCCAGTGACGGGTCGGAGCCGGCCTGCTTGCTCTGTCCTGGGGGTTCAGCGAGGCCGGGGATCTCCTCCAGCAGCACTCAGAACAGTCTTGCATCCTTTGTTAAGCACACCACTGTCCTGTGCATCAGTGACCATTTTGCTACTGCTTCCTGTGGCGGTAGCACATAGAAACTCAAAACAGATCAGATTCAGGATTTCTCTTCTTTATACCATATCTGACAGCAACCAGACCTCGGGATCTCTCCTGACGATATATAGACCCAGGCACTGCACCTCATCCCCCAAATTTGACCTCCTGACACTTAAAACCAAAGCACGTGGCTTGAAACCTTTCCCAAGTGTTTGTCTCAACCAGTGGGAATTTTGGGCATCCCTTGTAGCCATCGGAATCATCTTCCTGGTATCCCTGGATTTTCCATTTCAGAACTATGAGAAAATTCAAAGAAGACATTCCTGGGTTGTATTTTCAACGGCATCTTTCCTTACTGAATTAACAGCCAAATGCCCCTAATGTTGCTTTTATAGGGATAATCAAAGATATGTACCGTAGCAAATATATCTCTAATAAAATGAAATGTCTGAATTGAATGAAATGAGATTCTGTTGATATCTTCAGCTGGAAAATCAACCCACTTCTTCCTAAATTAACCTGGCCTTCAGTCTCTTAACACCTAATTGTTACTTCACTGGTATCCACTAATGGGCTGTAAATCAAAGGAATGCGAATGATAATTGGAACTGTTCAAATTCCTTATTGATTTGGTTCAGTAGTTTTCAGCTTCCTGAGTCTGGCTCTGCCAATGCATGGTCTGTGTGCGTGTGTGTGTATGCGCGTGCACATGAGTGTGCCTCTGAGCATGCATGCACGTACATTCATGTTCCTGGTATATTTGTTATACTCAAGCAATCTATGAAATTCAGCTGGGGAATGGTGAAACCACAATAATGTATATTCAACAAGTGCTAAATCTTAGTTTGGTGATCAAATCCTCCAGATCTATTAAAAATGACATCTAAATATGTCATTTCTTTGCAATTCAATATTCAATTTTAACATTCAGCCATACCAGTCGCCTCATCTGGCTTCACTAACGCCAGCTAGGTTGAACTAATGCTCAGTGCAAGCACTCTACATAGCTAAGACCCCAGGCTCTGACCTGGCATCATGCTGTGTCTACAGAGGTACAGGTGCAAGTTCTCCCTGCCCCAGATTTGAAGGGACACCTCCAAGTAGGAGCTTCCAAAGTATTTTCTTCCCTGTTCACTGCCTGCACAGGATATGTTAATTTAGATTTTAAAATAGGTACCTTTTCAGAGAAAAATGAATTGCATGTTATAAGAGAATATGATACTCCCAGCAGCTTCTCCAGGACCCACGCAGGCTTGAGAAACAGAGGGTTCCTCTGCATAACTGGGTATGTTTAGCTGCTGAAATGAAGAGATACAGCTGAAACCAAAAGGTACCCCAAAAGGTAACACTCATAACACCAAGAGAGATAAAGGCAGTGTCATTTGCACACACAGATGTTTTGGAAGGAATCAAAAAATTCCCACAGTCTGGCACACAGATGACAGCTGTGACCTGGTGCCGTGGCACACATCCAGCCTCCAGCCACTCCACGTAGAGGTCTGTTCCCGTGGGCATTTCGCCTCCCCGGTGCCAACCTGCCCCAGCTCCTTACTGCAAGGCACAAGCAGCCACCACAGCTCTGTGCTGGGCTGCTCCTTCCTGGCTTCCAGAATGCCCCAAAGAATAGCAGCAAAAAGGCATCCCTGTGCATTATTCTCTATGTACATAAAGGTACATTTTATATATTTTCAGACATGGTTCCAGCCCTGTCTCCAATGCAAGTACTGATTGAACATTTAAGGAATCTCTGTTTTAACACACACACTCCCTTTATCAAACACAGCACTTACCAGTAGCAGGTCAGAGCCAGCAGATGCGATGGAGACCTCTGTGAGCCTGAGCCCACACTGAGGCAAATCACTTCGTGCAGGGAGCAAATGCCCTTCAGCCAAGAGTAACGGGCAGTGTGCGAAACAACACAATGAGAGCTGGAACTGAAACCAGAAAGTGTGCTTTTACACTGGGCAAGGTGAGAAAAATTAAACATTTTTTTAATGCTATCAGTAATTAGGTTTGGTATTTTTTTCCCCAGAATGAGGATATATGAAATATGGATCATGCTTCTCATGTGCTTTCATTTGAGAAGATAATACAGCTAATATAGTACAGCATACTTTGAAGCATAGTGTCTTGATCTCACCTGATTTTAATTAAAAATATTGCAAATAGGTCCTCTGAAGCAATTTGCATTAGTCCTGTCAGGTCTTCTGGTAAAGCCTTTCTACAGTCAAAAGGTGCAAGGCAAGTTTAAAGTAAGCGAATTGGTGTCTCCATCCTTAGCAGGGATTACTGAAAATAGTAACATTTTTATGCACTGAATATTTTCTCACTCAAGGCAAGTTGGATATTTTCTATCAGATTATCAACAGGTGGTAATATGTTGATATTCTAATGCTCCTGAAATAAAGATATCATGAAAAGTGCAGTGTATGATTTTTATCTCAAGGAAATCTAATGCAATATGCCACTTCAAATTTTAGTTATACGTCCTTATACCATGAAGAACAGTAGGGATTTTGGCTGCATCATGGAGCATCTTTCAGGCACAGCTTTTTGCAGCTGCATGGCATTTCAACCTTACTTTTTTTTTTTTTTCTTTTTTCTTTTAATACAGCATTATAAGACAAATATTATTAGTGCAAAGAGCTTTAAAATCAAAGTACTTGAAAGTTTAGAATACTGAGAAATACATCATTCCCTAAAGACTGCACACAGCACCAGGATGAGCAGCAGAGTGTGCCTTCCCTGCCATGTCAACAAGTATTTTAAATCCTTGGAGAGAAAGCTCCACAATTACATATGAGGGAAACCATCTAGGCAAGTAAATACTCACAGATTTCCCCTGATGAAAGGGCATGCTGGCTGTGAGTCGCTTAGACAGTTCAACATCACTTTGCAGTTCAGGCAGGAGCTGATGAACAACTCATGATGGGTAACGGGGAAAAAAGTTCATTAATTAGAGAGCTTGGAAACCTTCCAGTGGGAAAAGGGAACTGGGAGTTTTCCTGTTGATATTACAAATGATCCCTTGCAGTGAGAGGGTTAAAGGAGACGAGCCGAGACATATGTGCAGCACATAGCAACACACTTTTGTTGCTGGCAGATTATCTATATAAAATGCCAAATATTAAAGTAACTATTCCCTGGGCTCTAAAGGGGAAGACTTCATCTCAGTTTGTTTGCAAAGATAAATGTTCCTTTACTTCACAGCTCACTCACAGAGCTAGCAAGTGGCCGGGTGAAAGGGATAGCAGGCCTGCAGAGGGAGGGGAGCTGCACAGGATGATGCTGAGGAGCACGGGCACCAGGGGGTGGTCTATACTTTAGCACCAAAGCACTTCTCCAGCTGGGTGTTTTGCCACAGACCTTCCTGCCTGTCTGTAATGAGGGAGAATAAAGTTGGTATTCACCCATCGGCACTGCTGTGGCAGCGAGACGATTACAGGAATAAAACCTGCTCCGTCAAAAGAATGGATGGCCACCTACAATCTAATACCTACTGGTTTTACTGAGCAAAAACACTAGTAAGGATGATAAGGAATGGAGCTTTATGTTATTGATGTCTTTGCTGCCCGCCTGTCCCTCTGCAGTGGTGCAGCAGTACTGCTCCTTGCAGGAGGCAGAACAAGCAGCAAGCGCTACCTGAAACAGCCTTCAATGTGCTTTTGCTGCCCTTAATCCAAGGAAATTAAATTAAAATAAAATAAAAGCAAACCAGTAACGCAGCAGGATGAGAATCAATTTTGCTTTAAAATGATCGCTGAAGCCTGATCACCAGCTTATATAAGCAAAAACATGAGCAGGTTTTGTGCTTTTCCTCCACAGCCCTCATCTCCTGCTAGGCCTCGTGGCTCTGCGCAGAGCCCCCCGGCTGGCGGCAGCCCCGCAGGCCTCAGACAGGGCACAGAGAGCAAGACCTCACAGCAGACATAGGCTGGTAGCCAAAATTGCTCAAGACACATCCATATGCATATAGGTGAGCCCCTTTCCAGCCCAGGGAAAGCTCCAGCACCCCGGCACCCATTACAGTGCCTGGAGTGAGGCCTCCTTGCTGCTGACGAGGCCTTTGGAACAACCAAGGGGAAGCTGAGCTCCAGTGAACTCGTTACAAGCGTTAAACTAATTTGCACCATCTGCAGCTTTGTAGCATTTATTATCTGCCAGCTTTCTGGCAAAATTGTGTGACAGATAAGCTCAAAGAAACAACATTTTGGGCTGAACATCCGTGCAAACAAAGTGATGAATCCAAATATATGCAGCAGGAGTTTGTTTCCAAGCGGTGTGCTCTGCCGAGGAATGGGGGTCACCAGAAGCTCAGCTCACCCCCCTCTGCAGAAATGGCTGGTAACGAAACATCCCTGACAAAGTCTGTGCAGCTTTGAGGAATTATTTAAAACGAAGCCATACTTAAAAACAGCAGCTTTTTTTTGGTGGATAATTCACACACAATAAGGAGGATGGGATTTGTCAAGCAAATTGTTCACTCAATAGAAGCTGCTAAAAAGCTTTCCGAGGTCACCAAGCCATTTTTAGTCTCAGGATGCCTTATGAATATTTCTCTAAGCTGCCTGGCTTCCAACCAGCTGTACCAGCACATCGTCCCACTAGATGCGAGTTAAATTTGCATTGTGTACTAAGATAATCAGAGTTGTGATCATTTGCATGAAACAAACACTACAAATATTTAAATAAATAAATAGCCTTCTAGTTTTATGGAAACATGATGACTGTGTAATTAATTCTTCTCAGGCACTGCGAATTTCTGCATGATTTGAACTGATGATTTTGGTGTACAACATTCGAAAGAGACAGAAAAAAAAAAAACATCAGTTAAGGTGGAAAGGCACTGGGGCAAATCTGAGATTTCCTTTTGATGGTTCTGGTGTCTCAGCACTGCAACCAGATGAGGTGGGCAGCCAGATGGGCTCCTACCCAGTTTCTTGATATCTTCTGGTTGTCCCCAGCCCATGTTGCTGACCAGGAAGGAAAGGCTTCCACATCTTGAGGTCCTCGGAGACCAAAGGTTGAAACATGCCCCATGGGCACCCCATCCTCCAGCTGGAATATCTCTTCTGCTGTCTCTCATTCAGCGAACCGTTCTATGATTCTATGATTTTCTCTTCACTCATCCTCCTGAAATGATAAAATTAATGGCTTTGAGAAGTCTGCCCCAATGCTGTCCCTCTGGAAGTTCCACCTGAAGACTCACTATTTCCTCAGCTGCTTCCACATGACCCAATCTGTGGGACAAAAAGCCCCATTTGGATCTTGAATTCTTCTTCTTAATAGTATCGTACGTTACATTTGACAGCCTTTAACTGATTCTCTGACTTTTGTATGGCAAAAATTTCTGGCAGTGTTATTGGCTTTCCCTTTTTTATTAACTAACTGCTCTGTCTGGCGGCAAAATCCCCATCAGAAATGGATGCTCCTGGGGGAATTTTTCAAAGGTTAGATCCTCTCATGCTGATGCAACGTTTTTGGCATTATTCAAGAAGACAGATTAATCACTTAGCTAGACCTATATCCTAACCACAGTATGGGGAGGGAAAAAATTAGTCAGTTGCTTAAAAATAGGTTTAAGCTTTTAAATATACCTTACATAAATTTAGTCCCTGGTAATGAAACACTGGAACAGGGAGAGCAGCAGAGAAGGAAAATGAGGATATGTAAAGAATTGGATGTCCATTACAAGCCCATAGAGAATGAAGCAGCACATAAATGAATGGAACAGAAAGGATAGCTGGTGATATGGATGAATTTTTAATTTTTTTTCTTGAGAAGAATGCAGAGGCTGGTATGAGAGGTACCAACCTTGCAATTGATGGTAAGTCACAGCTTCTGAGGATGCTGATGCTCAGCTCACAAATGGATTCTGTATGTCATTCTGCAAAGAGCTCCAGTTTCTCCCAGAAACACTGCTGTACTGCATCCCTACAGTGCCAACACCCAAGCAGAAATACATGGGCCAGGAAGAATCAGCATACAAACAATCCAGAAGAGTCACCATTTATTCTAACTCTGTGTTCAGTCCATTAGTCCAGCTTGCCCTTCTACATCCACAAAAATATAAAACTGGGGTAACTGTTACCTTTCGTAGATATTTGTAAAGAATCCAAGACACCATAAAAGGATTTAAGATTAATGGCCTGCACTCGGATAATTAACTACCTTGATAGTAGAGGCCCTGGTGACGAGTGAGATATTCCTGAGAAATGTCTAATGAAATTAGTGTTGTTGAATATATTTAAGGTTAATGGAAAAAATGGAACAAGAGCTGCGTTAGCCATCCAACATGAACATTTCTCTCCTGCAATAACAATGGGCCACAGAAGAAGCCTTTTAACTACATACTAAATCCATTATCTACTCCCATTTGAACCTCTCATTTTGAAGGCAGCAATGGCTATTGACAATCTGTCTTCCAGAACTCACACACTGAAACTGTTTGTCTTCTGTTTTATCGCTGTGTATTGGGGAGGCAGATGGTCAGACTGCTTCCCTGGGTGGGCAGTTTTATTGGCAACACAAAAACATGCTCCTCAGTGCACCTTCAGCAGTACAGGTGAAATAAAGGAGCTTTTTTCATCTCTGATTTCTGTTCCTGAAGAATTTCTACTCTGCTTCTGCTCCAACAGTTCTGCCTTCAGAGTGATTTCTGTTGTCTCAACAAGCAAGTGCTGTTCCTAGCACACTGGCTTAACCTGAGTTTCTTGGGATACAGGTGACATCATCTCTATAGAAAGATGTATGATTTTTTTTTTCCCACAAGTTTACAGTGCCCCTGAGATGCCTGTGAGCAGGCAGAGTCAAGCATTGAGAAGACAGCTGAACATTTCCTGTAGCACAGGTGGTCTGCACCTGGCAGTGAAGGTGCGTACTTGGCCCCTTTCTGATGGCAAACTTCTGCTGTGGGAAAACTTCTCTTGGCTGTGGCATTCACACAGCCAAGTGGCATTCACCCATGCCCTTCCCTAAAAATGCAGTCTGTCAGCTCGCAAAGTTCACCCAAACCCTGCACACAGCAAAGTTCTTCTCTCTACCACAGTCTACAGTGCCTGAAGGGTATCTGACTTCTCTATTTCCCACTGCTGAAGGGCAACCCCTCCTTTCTTCCCAGCTGGCCTTTGGGGAAGAGAGGGACAAGTCCATCTCCTTCCCCTGGTTCCCTTCCAGCCCAGCTGTGGATCACAATCAAGGTCCACCTGGCTGAGCAGCACAGACTGGTCCCAGGTCCTTTGGCTCTTGGAGGTCAGATCATTGCTCCCTAACAAGTTTATCTTCCAGCGCACTGAATGCTCTCATCTCATAAATTGTGCAAAGGTATACCTTGACAGGTGAAGTATATTTTCTTGTTTCTGAGCCATGGTGGAGCTCATCTGTTCAAATCATCTCACAGATTGTTTACGTTCCCATGACAGGGTTCTGTTCATCACTAAGTCAATATGAGGTCCAATTATTACGGTCAAATGACTCTTAACTCTTCAGGCAAGTCAACCACTGATTTCTAAAAAAAACAACCCTGATGCTACTTGCATCTAGGCCTCCACACGACCTCCAAATGACTGGACAGAGCTGCTGCCCCCAGGGTCTCAGGCTGCACCTGTTCGTGGCAAGTATGAACACCACTTTATCCAGCCCTGATCCGGGTTTTGTTGCAGGGCTCTTAGTTGAAATGAAATTTGGCTGAAAAAAAAATATATATTTCAGCTCATGCACAAAGCCACTCAAGGCAGCATCCTGCAAAAATCTAAATAAAGTGATTCTCTTCCGTGAAGCAGCTCAGAGAGACAGAGCTGAGAAAAGAAAGCTTTTGCCTTTCCTTTCCATGTGGATAAAGAGACAGATAACAGGGTAGTTTTCTTTATAAACTTAGAAGAATCACAAGAAAAGTGCTGGGGCTTTGCTTAAATTACAGAGGTTTATTTCCATCACAGAACAAAGCTGATGTGGTTTGTCTTCCTTCCAGAAATTAGTACAGTAGCCAGCAACTTAAACTAGATCATTCAGCATTTGTCAGATTAGCAGTAAATCTCTTCCTAACACGCAGGACAGGACAAGATTAAAATTAATAAAAAGAAGTGAGTGAATACCCAAAGTTATATGTACTATATTTAGAGTTTGAAGACCTGGTATAGACTATACTGAAATGCTCCTATCAACTAGGTTAGATGCTGGAGTACTCTTGGACTACTGCAAGGATATTTGTACAAAAATAAACACAAACGAGCAGCTCACCTCCTATCTCTGATCACTACTCAGAACACAGAGCCTTGCGTATTATGTGAAAGTATGTATTTTAGAGGAATTTATAAATCTTTCACATTCGTAGGTTATTTCTAAAAAAGATGAATTTATCACAATAAATGGAAAACCAAAACCTTAGTACCTTTTCATCAGAAGTAATGAAGAAATGCATTTATTCTTTACTCTGCAAATCTCCTTATTTCAGAATAGACAGCCCTTTGAAAATGCTGTTGTATATTTGTTATGGCAAAGACATTTCTTTTTCAGATTCCCAAATATAAACTCTTCTATAATAAAAATAAAAATAATAATAAAAAAAAGGGCTCTCCTATTGTCCCTGGTGTATTTTGCACAGGGTACAGACAAGGGGAAATGCATTCTCATTCTTCCCTGGAGAACTGAAGACTTTATGCTTCAATAATTAATTTTTTACCTTCCTGAAGCATACTTTGTGTCTGTACAGACCTTTGCTCAAGTACACTGTGCATTACAACAGAATGTAGAGAGCAGAATCTACCCTTCATTGAGGTGATAAAATATCATGCAAAGAGAAGAGTTACCCCGCGCACAACCATAGTCCCAGATATAATTGTAAAATTCAGTCAAGTGCTCAGACTAACCAATAATTTATTTGTCAAGTTTCATTTATTTGTCTTAAAAATGTGCAAGAGAAGATGTTGAATTTATTCTTGACATTTCCCCCCTGTAGATAATCACTTGCATAAACATGGTATGAATATTCACTGTTCAAACCTTAAAATTTGGATTGTCAGTTAGTTATATAAATCATGGCATTATTGCTTTTCCTTCATGACATATGTAACTAAGCAACAAATTGAGAATTTAAATACTAAATTTAATACATTCTGCCCTTTTCATGGTGATAAGTGATACAGAGATCTCAGCTCAGCAGGAGGTGGGTCCTGCTGTCCTAAAGGTGGAGAATCAGACAAAGTTGTCAGCTCAACATCCAAATGATGCCACCTATTCTGGTTCAGAATTCACAGAGCAAGAGCAATTGTCCTGGCAAGGCTCAGTTTCTCAGATATTCCTCAAAATGAATCCAAAATATAAAGAATGGTTTCAAGACTAAGCTTATTCTTGAACGCAGAAGACCACGCAGGAAGACCTACCTGTTTGCAGACACCACTTCATTGCTGGCTGTAAATTGCCAGAGCAGCAGAAAGGATTTAGAACTTTTGCAGTTATTTGTGGTCAGAAACAGGACGTGCTAAGACAAAGAGCTGGAAAAGCTGCAAAATGAGAAGATCTCTTCAAAAGGGTTGGAAGAGACATTTGTCATTTAAAACAAAAATTGAAGACTTCTAAGGGAAAAAAAATGGCAGAATAACCTTAGAATAAGAGGTATTAAGGTACTAAAGGGAGTAACCTTTAAAGCCTGCCTACAGAATGGATCCCCAAAGTCCTGAATCATAATAGCAGAGGGGAGGAAGAGAGCCTTGAAATAAATGAACATTACTCCAGAAATCTCCCAGAGATGACAAAAAGTGCAGAAGTTTCATGCTAAACTATTTTATTTCTTTGATAAAACCTGAACTCTTTAGCAGCCTGGAGTGTGAGAGGAAAGAAGAAAGAAAGGATAATAGGAAGGGAAATAAATCTCTTCTGTTAAATGCATTCAGCAGTGTAGCGATAGGCATAGGATTACGCTCAATTTAATCTCAATGGATAACACAGTCCAGGATATTATCTGCAGTTTCCTCAAAAATCTCTTCTGAAACACAGCTTTTGCATTTCTTTCTGCAGCAGTAGCTCTGCCCTGGCTGTGCAATTTACCAGAGCACGCTGCTGTTCGGTTTGGCCATCTACAAAAAGGGCCTTGTGACACCACACAGAAAGAACAGTCTAATTGAGGGACAAAGAGAACTAATGAACAGGGAGGCAGGAGTTCAGTGCTGGTTAATTTGCATGGAATCCATCAGTAAAAACCAGAAGGTGCTTGTTAACCAGACAAGAAGAGATAGAAGGCAATGCAGGACGACCTACCCAAAAATCAGCTATTTGCCTTCACCTGCTTTGTGAAATCTTTGCAAAGCTGAGAAACCACTGACAGTTTTGCAATAACAGGTTGCAATATTGTATTTGTAAATTTGCAAATTAGCACACCTCAAAATGTGCAATCCAGAGGGATGGAGATAGGCTCCTGGCTGCTTCAGCTGACGATACTCACTGCGTGCAGTCACTGGCAAATGGGTGATCCTGGTGGAATTCAGGAGCTGTTTGATCCGAATTCAATTCTCTCACTCACGTCAGTGAATACTCCATGGCAGGGTTACATCCCCTAATATCTCCCCCCCGACTGCCTCAGTGTTTCCAGCTTCTTCTGAAGTTACTACCCAGATACTGGACTAAGATTATTTTACTGTGATCTGATAACACAGCATCAAGCATGGGATAGACAAAATAGATTAAGAAGATTAGTTTTAGTTTTATGGCAAACTTCCTACGGGTGCTTAATTAACAACATTATAACGGCTAATCACTTGGTGGTTCCTACCTCCACTCATTTTCTCGGTGACACAAGGGCATGCGATAGGGGTGAGTGGCTGTACCATGTCTGCTTGCGATAATCTGTCACTTCGCAAAGGGCTGTGGTGCCATTAACTGGGTTAATTGGGTTCATAATTGTTGCCAATCTGGACATCTGTGCTCAGCTGCTGCCACTTAAGAAGAAAAAAGAAACTAAACATGAAATGCTGTGGATGAGAATTTTGCCCACGGATAGTTCTTACATCCCCAAGGAGTCTTGGAGGGAAAGAGGATGTGCAGAGGATGTGAATTACCCTCTTGGCTGCCAATATTTTCCTAATTTCAGAAGTTATTTCCAGAAAACAAGTTTCCAGAGTGTGAGCCCCCAGTTTCCCAGAACAGATGTGGGGAAGTTTCTAGGTAAATAAACCGGGCTGAAATGTAAATGGGGTTTGACAAAAAATAAATAAATAAATAAATAAATAAATAAAATCAAGGAATTCTTTTAGCTGGTAAAATATGTATTTTAAAGAAATCTGTCAATACTGAAAACTTCTCAAGTTCACTACATTACCTTTCACCAAAAAAAAAAAAAAATGCTGGGAGGAAGAAGTTATTGTTTTCTGACTCACAGATCAAAAATCTCTCTCCCTCTTTCCAACTAAAATGGTCATAGGATGAGGAAGCTTTAATTACTAAGCATAATAGCAGATTTACAGGTAAATGGTAATTTAATTTAGTGTATGTGTTGAATTAAACAGTATTCTGTGAGAACTCCCAACTAAAGTTAATATTATCAACCAAAAAAAAAGAGAGGGGGTTTGGCTTTTTTTTTTCCCTGTAGCTAACATTTAAAGTATAACTGTTCTCTGTGATTGACATTACATTTTAGATGATTTTTTTTTTCTTTTTATCTGCTTTAGAGAGTGACACTACGCTATTTCATGGGATTAGTGATTTAAGTAATGTGAGTAGGTTGGTTGTCATGATTAGCAGAAGCTAAAGCAAAGCAGCATTTGCTAACTGCAGAGAATTGAGACAATGTGGCCAGCCGCAGCAGCTTATTAAATGCATAATGAGCTCAGGCAACTTATAAAAGGAATCAAAATTCTGTAACGCAGGGAAGCAAAGTTCCTAAGTACCAGCATATTCCTACAAGACTTTGAGGTGACATGAGATTATTATGAAATATTTAGTGAACAGACACTTAATTGAACACATGAGTATGGGAAAAGGAATTTAGGACAGCAAGTTTTTCAGAGAAGAGTTTCAAAGGTTGGCTTTCAACAAGCCAATATTTGCACCACAATGTGGCTGGGGGGCTCTGCTTGGGAGCCAGCCCCTCTTCTTTCATCACAAACCTTTTTTTTTTCAGCCACTGAAGTATCACCATTTGAATCTGTATATTGCTTCTGGAGATCTTCCTTAGCCCTCTGTCATCTACTATACTTATATCTTATATTCCCCCAGCATCATAATATTCCCACTTTAATCAGACCCTGCTTTGATTTCAGCTGCTATCCTCCTGACTTTGCCTTACGGACCTTTCTTTCTGCAGCTGCCATCTCTCGAAGAGATCGCAGCACGCCTGCCTCCAGCCTGCCCGATTCATTTGATGAGGTTGCTACTGGTCTGCAATGTAAAACAAGAAGATTTTCAGCAACTCTCAGGTTGTTGATTTCTAAAAAGCTTACCTGCACGGTAAGCTCTGATGGCTTACCTGCATCTTCCTGCACATGCACTGCCTCCACTTAAATTAGATTTTGGTTATTTGGGATTTACGTGGCATGTATCTAAAGAGATACGAATCTTTATCTTTGGAAAATGAGGTGCTGTTTAAATGCCAACTATGTAGGCAGGGGGTGTAAATCTCATTGGACAGTGTAAGAAATTGGAACCAGCTGTAGGCAAGTGAGAGCAGTGCCAGAGCAGCTTTATCAGGGTTACCTGTTTGAGGGTTGTCCTTGCAATCAAGCAAGAGACTCCCCGTTTCCATCAGGTTGCCAACACCTCACTGTTTCTCAAGCACAACAGTACCTGTGTCATCCAGTCAAGCAGAGAAACATCCCTGATGCCAGGATGCTGCAGGGATCCTGCTGCCTTATGATCGGGCTTTATAACTACAAAGTGGATGTTCCTCCTGCCTCCCAAAATGCCTGTGGCTATCTGGGGACACAGGGTGAGACGTTATAGAGTATGGCCCAGTGTTTAGATTATGCCATCCTCTGAGAAGGCAAAGAAGTAAAAGACGGTGTGATTGCTGCTGCAAACTCAGAGTTGCATAAAACCAGAGCTCTGGTCCCGTTTTAGCATTAACTTGCACGGCAATGACCCAAGAACCTCGGATCGTTTGCACAGTCTGTTGTGATCAAAACTCACCAAAACATAGTGCTGAGAGAGCTCTGCTAATGCAGGGCAAAGAGGACACAGGGCAGCCGTGACATAGCAGCCACACCAGCCAAGGCACAGGGGTGACAGGCACAGCACGTGAACTGGTGGAGAGCAGCAAGGCTGCATCTCACGCTGAGTATTAACAAAATTCAGGCATCACCCTCTTTCTGCTCCTCACGTATCTTTAAAAATCCTGTTCCCTAATGAAATTCAAATTCAGGAATTGCTGATGGTCTGCAAGCAAAAGGAAAATATTAATTTAGCCCAGACTCCATAGCTTTGTGCTTATTAGGCAATTCTCCGATTTGGGGAAATAAGCGCTATCTCGGGGTTTTTTAACCATGTTTCTCCAATAGCAATGAAAAAGTTTTTTTCATTTCCTTTGTGGAGAAATATATACAAGCTAGGCTAGAGGAAGGCCTCAGTTCATGTAAAATGTAGGAAGATATAATGGAAGTTTCACAATACCTTTTCAAAGTACCCTAATACACATTAGGCAGACTATTTCAGCTTCTGAATTCTTTCAACCTTTCCCTGACTTTCAGTTAGGAACTTGTGAAATATGCTGTTTTTATGATTAGAGCACTGTCATATATAGCTTTGACTTCAGTCATTCATTTAGCAAAAAACCCTTTGTCCAGCCAAAGAGAATAATCCCATCTCTGCCTGCTTGGGGAACGTCTGCCTCCGCTCTTTGGCTGACCATCCAAAACTCAGGGAAGAGCGTGCCACTGATCTTTCATTTTCGTCCTATTCCTCCCAACTCACAGTTAAACAAATTATTTTAAAATAACCAGCTTGAAGAACTCATTCACCAGCAGCTGATGGAAGAAAATTTCCTGCATGCACTGACGATATTATTCCAGAAGGAAAGTGGCAAAAGAGACATTACAGTTCACTTAGAGACACACTCACATGCCAACAAAGGCACTGCCAAGTGCAGCCTTAGATTTCCATGAAAAAGGGGAAACTGAGTGCTGCAATGGGACAGTGCCTTGTCAGGGGCTTGAATGCAAGCCAGAATGGATCCCCTTGCAATGAGATAGCAGAAATGTTATCGTAAAACATGCACTGCACTCTGTCCGGATTTATAGGCCATTAGAAAAAAATCTTACATGTGCTGTTTTGTGATGATGCTGGACTTCCATTATCTTGCTCCAAATACACAGGTCAGCCGGCAGCAGCATTTGAGGGAACAGGAAGCAGGCCTCAGCTCTTATCTCCAGAGGATTTGTGCCTTTCTTGCACACGCAGTCCAATACACGCTTGATTTTAAAAGAGAGCCTTTGGTTTAAGGAAAAAAAAAAATATTTGGGTTAATAATTCTGGGCTTCTTCTCACTGCAAATTCTCCACTCAGAGGAAAAATAGTATGGTCAAAAGGTAGCGAATTAGCTGGAAAGGGCAGATTTTGACCTGATAAAATTGGCATGGCTATTTAGGGAGCAAGATTTCATTAGAGTTGCTATAGCAATTGGAACAGTTTGGCAAAACCTAATGAAGGATTATGATAGAAATAGAGAAGGCTATAAGCCATCAAAGCTATAGAAACAGAAGCTTCAGAGGTTTCTGAGCAAAATCCCCCTGGAAGTACACTGATCTCCCTGGAAGATATCACACTCATTTCAAATATTTCTCTGGGGGATTCGCTGAGCAATGATTGCAATACAAAATGGAGTGCCCTCTCCACTGCAGAGTTATTCATGGATTTTCTCCTCCAAGGGGCACACTTTATTATCAAATGCTTTATAATAAAAATACTTTGCACTTGCATGGCACCTCTCCTCACAGAGCGGTGCAGAAGTTACTCCTGATGCTGTGTTAACCTCCTCAGCACAGTACTAGGTACGTCCTGTGGCTGAGCAAATGGAGCTGGAGACACGAAGTGGCTTCACTCCAGTCTCCCCAGGGATGAGGCAAGGATGTGCATGAAGTCGGGGCTCCCAGGTGCCCAAATAAACCTCAGATGCTTGAGCAGGGGTACCGCAGAGCTCCCACCCATGCAAGGTGCCCCGATGCCAGGCACGTGCTGCAGAATGACCTCTGGCTCTGGCTGAGCTCCCGCTGTGCTGCAATGTCTCTCCACGATGGAAAATCAAAGCTGCCATCCAGCAGGATGCTCTCACCCAAATGCTGTGCAGGGCCCGGAGTGTTGCTCAGCAGCTGCACAACAACAGGCATTTATTCTGTTCTGTGATGCTCAGCACAACCTCTCCCACCAGGGGAGACACTTTTCTCTCTCTGATCTGAGACTGAGAAGGAGACTTACCCCTGAGCCAGCAGAACACACACGATGGGCAGCCACCCCAGCACGTACCGAGCTGCTCCAGCCGCTGCTGCTCACCCAGTGGCAGCAGCAAGGGAAGAATGTGCCCTGCATCGCCTCCAGCTCTCCATCCATCCAAGTGCACATTAATTTTGCCTCTGCTTTCACTCAGGGTCCTGCTTTCCTATAAAGGAAGAACCTATAGCCAGCTTTTGCTGGCTAAGAACCTATAGCCACTTCCCGAGCCTCCTCCATGCAGCTGGTGAGGGCCTTGCAGAGCTTGGGAAATGCTGGTTGAAATTCACAAGTATGA